GATACATGCTTGTTGGGAACCATTGTTTGGTTGGATTGAAGTTGGTGTTACAGTTTTTACCTCCAGATGGTATCAAAGATAAATGCTTATGAAATGTCCTATACCTTTATCAAATATTTTTCCTACATCAAAAGTGTCAGTTGTTTAAGTGACTGCTTAAACAAAGCAATCAGGATGCTGTTGTTCGATCTCCAGATCCTAAAGCCTTACCAGACCTTCTCTGAAGGCATCCTGAGCCAGCCCCCCCCCCAAAAAAAATGTGTCAGTTGTATTTTTGGGTAAATGTGACTTTTTGCGGGGGAGGAGGGGGCCAGAGTCCAAGCACAGAGATTAAATTGGGGTTTCTTTTTTTTTTTTTTTTTTTTATTTCTGGATTAGACATAGGGCCTTTCTGCTATTTCTTTACTCGTAGTGATTTTCTTTTTTTTTTTTGGTAGAACCGGGGATCAAACTCAGGCCCTTGCACTTGCCAGGGAAGCGCTTATTCCACTGAGTCATCTCCCCGACCCTTCTTTTGGTTGTTAAAGTTTAGTGCAAATGAATTTAAAAACAATTCTGTGTTACATTTTGACCTGCCTTACATTTTATTTACTGGTTGGTTAAAACTTGGTCAGTGTGTTATAAGGCTCACTGAGGCTTCAGTTTAAAGTATTTTTTTAAAAATTATGTTTGTGATATAACAAATACAAGTTAATTATGTGTCTAAAACACTTGTGACCTGGATTGTTTTGAATTTGTTTTAGAATGTCTGCCTATATGTAATAAGATATCTCATTTGGGGATGGGACCCATGACTACATAAAATGGTCATATTTTATGTACACCTTTTTCAAATACTCTGAAGGTAATTTTATACAGTATTTTTAGTGAACCTGTCACTTGAGGCCAGATGTGGAACTTAGCAGTTGTGTTGGTGCTCAAAATTTTTTGAATTTTCAGAATATTAGGCATATTGAACCTGTGCCTACTTATTTTATCCCACTTTTCTAAAAAAAAAAAGTTCTGTTTGCTAGAATTAACAATTGTTTGGCAGTCCTAGCCCAGGTCCGGTGAGTGTGCGGAGAGTTTCCTGCTACCCTGCGCCGGCGGGACCAGTCCCAGCCCAGGCACAGCGTGGGCCGGAACC